CCTTCCTTCCTTCCTTCCTTCCTTCCTTCCTTCCTTCCTTCCTTCCTTCCATCCATCCATCCATCCATCCATCCATCCATCAATCTATCAGGTCACGGCTCTCCTGCCCTTTATGGGAGAAGAGGCTTCAGTCAGAAATATCTGTGTAGTGCTTTCTGTGTGCATATTTACCCAGAAGCAAGATTTCTTTTTGTTTCAATTGAGCTTACTGTATTGTAAAACTTTTTAGGATTACAGCCTTCAGGGAAAATAAAATACTCTTTCCAAGAAATAATTAGAAAGAGGAGAAAGAATGCAGAAATTTGACAAAATTAAATTTTGAATTAAGGCATCAGCCAGCTTTGTGTTATATACCATTACTGCATTTTTTTTTCTTTTTTACATTTGGGTTTACTATATATTTAGTCATTTTTAGTGGGCAGAATTTATGGTAACTCTTAAAAAAGACAGCCTGACATAACAGCAGGCAGAAATTCACATCTCAGATACACACTTTGATTGCTTTGACTACTCAGAATTGTTTTGATTAGTCAGAATTTAAGTTGTATATTTGAAGAAAAAAATGAGTGGCATGATGCAGCAGAAATTCAACAGGTGATGCATTCCCTATTGATGTAAATCTATGGTAGTGAAAGGCTGCAGTAGTTGGATGTCTGCCTGCATTAAAGGGATAAGAAACTTGCCCAAAAGTAGGTAAAAGAGAATTGCCATCACTTTATCCCTAATACATGTAACAAGAATAATTTCCCTGCACCAGTTTGAGCCAGACACAGCTGAAAAGAGGAAACTTAGCAACAAATATAATGAGAATTATTTGTCATAAACCACCCACCACTTTGCATTTTTTTCTTTTACCTGGTTGTCAATACGGCATGCATTGATCTGTTGCTGGTGATCAACCAGTATCTTGAACTTTCTTCCTTGGCTTGTGATAAAAAAGGACAGTGTCCCAGAAAACGGTATGTATAAAAGCTGGCTTTGTTGGAGAAAAGCTACATATAAAAGAAGTGAAAGCATTTGTAGCAATTCAGCCACAGATCAGATTTTGCCAGGCATCAAGGTCATTTCCCTCCCATTTTCCAGGAGGAGAAGACTCCCTTTTCATTCACCCTGTAATTCTCTTCTGCACGTAATTCCCATCAAAACAGAGCTGCTTAGAACAGCTTACATGACGACATCTGTTCACTGGCAGATATTTGGGTCAAGCTGGGAGCTGGTAGAGGAGTGGGTGATGAAATTAAATTGCTGAATGGATGTGAAGCCATGGAGGAAACGACAAGAGTCACTCCTTGTAACAGCCACTCCTGCTTCATAATTTGGAGAAATGCAGGCTTGGAGGTCCATTGGCACCAGCAAGCACCTGCCTGTCTCTACCATCTTCTCTTCCCACTTGTTCTGACTGCTTGGAACTAAAGGGCGTGGCCATAAAAACAAGGAAAAGGCACCAGACACGATGCTAGATGCAAAACTGGTTGACCCTCTTTGAAGCCAGCGTGCTGCTGGTTCTCACTGCAGACCAGGTCAGCAGGAAAAAGTGCTAAACTCACGTTCAGATATAACCCATGGAGACACAGGTGAAGCTGGAGCTCTTTTCCATGTCCTCCCCACCAGCTCTTTCTGGTCTGTTTTCTTTGTTGGCTCATGTGGATGAAGACGCAATACAGTGGTTGCCTTCAGCCTAGGAATGAAGAAAGAACATTGACAGCCCAGTGGATTATGGGAAAGCTGCTTCCTCAACTACTGTTACAAGGGAGTATAACAGTGTTGGTTGCAAAGCATCCAAGAGTCTAGCTTTGACCTCATGGCCACCAGAACCTGGAATTTGTCACGCAACAGCCATAGAGAACGTGCCCGCTAAAGTGGACATCTAGCCCTGCCCTAGAGTGACTGGCCTAGATGCCGTAATAATCATAATTTTCATGGCACCCCCTCCTCCCCCAAGCCATACTGGAGTGGGGAAAATAACACTTGTTTCTCGCCCCCACCCCCAGCTTTGTGGTTTGGGGATTTCATCCCAGTTCTCCTCTGTACTTTTATTAAATTTATGTATTAAGCAAATTTATACAGCCGCTGTTCTAACCAATGGAACTCTGGGTGGTGAACAGAAATGTCTGTCATCTAATCACTGGTCTCATTTATTTAACTTGCCTATTTTTATCTTGAGTAATCCTCTCTTGGGCCTTTGGCATTAATCTATAGAGATATTTTAAAAATACAAATCAAATACATGTAACCAGGCATAACATACATGCTGAAGAAGCAGAAGGTAGCAAGCTCATCAAAGACGCTTAAAAAAACCCCCAAACCCTAACTATATTTGTTTGTATATATTCATAGTATTCATTTGCTCCCCGGTGATAAAATTAGCTCACAAGGAAATATATATAAGTGTCTCACAAGGAAAGATATTTGCATACAACAGGAACTGAGGTGTGGCTACTCTGAACAGAGTTGACCACATGCTGGTTTTGTGACTTCCCTTCCATAAGAAGTCATCACCTTCCCATCTTTTTGGCCCAGCGTGACACAGTATCGCTGTATTGAATCCGTTTTCACCACCTGCAAAACTTTGGGCCTTCGGTATTTCTGCCATAACATATCTGATTTGGCAAGCAAGGAGTTAGTACCAGGAGCGTCACCTGTCTTGCTTTTCCTGTCCTTGTTTCTTCAATGCCAGGCTTATAGAAAAAGAAAGCTGAGATGTCAAACTTCTCGCATTCCTTCATCTCTGGGCGGCGGGCGGCGGGGGGGGGGGACCTCCTGCATTTTATCTTTAGAAACAGTCTGCTTCAGCCTGAAAAAAGCGGTGACCAATTCCTGAATTAAAGAGACAAGCAATAACTTGAACTCTGGCTGCAAACATTTTCCCTGGAAGTACAGAATCATCCTTCAGCCTGTGATGCAACTGTCGACACTGGTCATGCAACCTGGAAGAGGAAAAAGGCAGACGTGCAGAGGGTCACAGAGGCATGTTGCATTCGCTCAGGCTTTGCACACACACACACATGCACGCACGCACAGAGACACACCCACACCAAACCAACCCAGCCCTCCAGGCACAGGGAGTGAGTCACGCTTGCGTTTCCTTTCGAAAGAGGCGATAAAAAAAGCAAACAGAGTGAAATGGCTTTTGAGGGCAGCTGCAAAGCAGAAATAAAGCAGGCCAAGCCAGGGGACAACTTGTAAATAATCATGTATTGTTTGTATCTGTTTTCGGCGTGGTTGGCTGGTTTGTCATCTTGTTCTCTATTTTCACTTGTTCCTCCCCCCCCCCTTTTATTGTATTTTATGCTGTCTCTTATATTCATTGAGGAATAAGGGATTTGTTATCAAAACAGAACCTCAGCAGACTGGCTTATATATCACACTAAATCATAGTTTAACTATGGTTTACTGAATATTGGCTGGGTTCATACAAGGAACGCGTAACTCAGTTCTAAGCAAAACAAAGCACATTATACCCTGAGCGCAATGTGTGAACCCAACTTGGTGTGTGTTGTTGGACTTGATTAAATAGTCATTTTTTTCTCAGGGAAGTTGCTATCAACCTGTCAACTCTCAGCAGGGGATCTGAAACTGGAGGTGGCATTCGATTCATTGGTGGGTCTTTATCAGCTGTCACCTTTCCTATGTGACCATTTTGCCACCAGGCTTTGCTGTTTGGTTTGTAGGCATTTATTAAACATTCAGAGCTGACTGGATAAGCTTTACCTTGAAGACCATCTGGGTTGCAGATCCCAAGCAGTTACTTAAAAAAAAAAAAAAAGGGGGGGGGGAGAAAAAACAGTTGAGGATTTTCTGTCTACCTAGGGAAAAAATCGATATAACTTATGCAATACTTGGTTTTTCAGAATGAGCAGTTAGCATGGAATTGCATGGAATTGACATGCTCTCCACCAATCCTGCAGTCTCCAGAAAACTATGAATGACTGATGATGCCCCATCAGGTTACTGTCAATTCTTGGTGATTAGATCGATGTTCTTCAGGAGGATCTTACACCTCTGTACCTGAGTCCATCCCCCTTGCTGCTGGTCCTCCTCTTCTTCTTTTTCCTTCCACCTTTCCCAGCATTAGAGGCTTCTCCAGAGAGCTGGGTCTTCGCATCATGTGTCCAAAGTAGGATAATTTGAGCCTGGTCACTTGTGCCTCCAGTGAAAATTTTGGGTTGATTTATTTGATGATCCATCGATTTGTTTTCTTGGCTGTCTACAGTATCCTTAGGAGTCTTCAGAGTATTTCTTGAAAACTACATTGGCAGGAAATTCGTTGCCCATCCCATTGCTGATCCATATCCTGACTTAATTGGCTCTGTCCCCAGTAACTGCACTAATTTCATTTCCCTTCAACATGTGATAAGGCTTAAGAGGTTTTACACACCTCCAAGATGCCCATGGATGACATCAGAATAGGGGGGAAAGGCTTGGTACAGCAAGAGACAATTTGAGTCTGTCTCACTCATGGACTGGAATGTGATAAATGCTTCTCAGTAGTCTTCTGCTTCAGACGTTTACGGGAGATTCATGCTATTGATTCAGTTTTGAGCCACTGATGAGGAAGTATGACTGGGCTAAGTTTATTATACCTGAGGTGGTCGATGCTTTGCATTAAGCTTGTATGTTTAACCATGGTTTGTTGAGTAAACCAAATTAGGTGAGTCCACCCAACATACTTAGCCACAGGCCATGTTTTGTTTGTTTATTTACATGCACCCCAATCATAACCAACTCTGAGCAGTTGGCATTGTAGAAAGAGAGACATGCTAGTCTATGGTAGCCAAAATTCAGAAGGAGGTGCGAGAGTTTATGCCTTTTAACTAAACTTGGCAATCTGAAAAGCTCCTACCAGAACCCTTCTAAATTCTGAGCAGCTGGCATATCCTATTCTGTAAAATAAGGTTAAAATATGCATAGAAATCAAACAAGTAACAGCCAACTCATCATTCTCTGCCAGGGCCAATCCTCACTCAGTTCACAGCGTACCACGTTGCAGGAAGGAAGATGTTGTAGCACATCAAACCCTGGTCTTAACTGCCTTTCTACAGCCCGGGGAGAAGGAAGCCTTAGGGATCTTGGGGGGACGCTATTCCAAAGAACAGAAGTAGCTAACCACAGTGTAGGCAACATCTGGCAGGGAGTGAGTGGGGGAGAATAAAAAAACAAAGTTTGTGGAACGCATATAAAACAGGAGCGAAACTTTGATCACATGGTTAGGACTGCCGTCTTGTCTTTTTTGACCCCCCTGTCAGGACTCCCCTGCCACAGTGACAGGTTTCCCACCACAAAACCACCCCCCACAAAAACAGAAGCAAGCCCCTGTAGGGTGTTGTGTGAGAGGTGAAGCAAGTCAAAGAAAGTGTAGTTTGGACTTGGTAAAGTGGCTAAGAGACCACTCATTTTCAGAGCTCATTTACTGATTCGGTTTATATAGTTGCTCATCTCAGATACGTGACTCTGGCAGCTTACAATAAAATAGAGTTACAGTTGTAAGAGTTTCCTGGAAAAAACTGCGAATTAGATCAAAATTTTTCAGGGTGAATCACTCTCACTTGTGTTTTCTAATCTCCATGCCTTCCTAGGTTTTCCATTGTTACATTTTGCTGAACGAATGTGTAGATGTGAACGTTCTTCCTTACTCAGAGCAAGGGACATTTTACTCAGCTCAGTGCTGGAGAGAAATCACACCAATCTAGACATCCTAGACATCGAGACAGCTCTTCCCATTTCAGTCTAATTTGAAGCAGGGTTGTTTTTTTTTTCGCGGCAGCTATGCCAGGAGGCTAAGCAGGGCCAATGATGAGGGAAGTCGGGGACCCAGCGGTATGGAGAGCCGTCATCCCGCACTACTGATCTAAGCTATGTCTCTTATAACTGAATGGCAGCTGGACATTTGCAGTCAATAAAGGAAAGGGATGTAAAAGGACCACCAAGAAAATCTATTGTAAAACTGGGGGGAAAAAAAAGGATCATTGTTTCTGGTGCCTTAGCTTTGCAGATTAATAGTTCAACCTGATCAACTTTCTATGCAATTGGTAGAAACGTGGAGCAACTTCCCAACAGGGCTGGCATCTTTCCAAAAGTAAAAAATCACAAATCTTGTGAGTCCCACAATTCCCCAGCCAGTATGACCATTGCTGAGAATCCTGGGAGTTGAAGTCCACACCCTTGGAAGTTGCCAAGACTGAGAAAACATGACCTAAGCCATAATTCTCTATCGAGCTGGTTTGAGTCTGGATTTCCTTGATGGATGTGGTCCTATGGTTTGAGTAGGTCCTTCCTTATACTTTTGCTGGGCCAGTGAGTGGGGACTTAACCAAAAGGCTCGCATCTCTTAACATTATGTGATCCAAACATGATGCAGCCAGAGGTTGGCAGAGCAAATGAGAAGTTTTCTAGTGTATTTCGTTTGTGGCACATTGTACATATATAAAGTCTGGATTCGGGCAGCAGATTTTACGCTCCATCTAGACGCTTCATTTCTCCCCCACTGACAGAGGTCACACATCACAGTATCCCATAATATGGATCTTTTGGGGTCGGTTTGTCATTTTTGGTGAGCACAGTCACTTCATTGTTCAGAATAAGGTCGAAACAAGACCATCGTGGTTGAACAAACCATGGCTAAAATAGTGCCTTAATATGTGACATGAGCCCAGCAAGAATGTGATGTGTCTCGTTTGAGTCAATCCAGCTTATTTGACTGGTAAATCACAGTTTATAAATTAGTGTTATGAATGAACCCAGCCACTGTGGCTGCTTCAAAACTGTGGTTAAAGCAAAGCATAGTTTAATGCAGTGTTTCTCAACCTTGGCAGCTTGAAGATGTGTGGACTCCAACTCCCAGAATTCCCTGCTGGCTGGGGAAATCTGGGAGTTGAAGCCCACACGTCTTCAAACTGCAAAAGATGAGAAAAACTGCATTAAACTATGGTTTGTTTTTACCACAGATTTGAAGCAGCC